GCAGCCGGCGGGGGAGGGTAAGCCGGGCGGTGTCCGGGGGGCAGCCGGGGTGACGGCGGGAGGCGCAGCTGGGAGCGCGAGGGGCGGGGAGCGGGGCCCGGGCCCTCCGCTTTGCTGGCTCGGGGACTGTTGAAAGGGGCTTCCTTTAGGTGAATGAGAGGCTTGCTTTTTCTGGGGACGCTGGCAGTTGGAGACGAGAGGAGGGCACGACCGCGGTTTTTCCTTCCCGGTGGAACTGTAATTGTGCAGGAAAACAGGCGCCAGGCGCGCCGGGCCCGCCGCCCACCCTGGGACCCTCCCTACGCCAGGGCTCCGCCGGGGCCCTCCGAGCCTCGGCCGCCTGCCGCGCCGCCCGGGGAGGCCGCAGGGTGAGAGGCCCGCGTGCTGACGCGCCCGGAGCGGTTGGCCGCGAGCTCGGGGTCCTGGGTCCGGGGCGCCAGGCCCTCTCAGTCCGGGGGTCCAGCCTGCAGCGGGGCTGCCGCCGGAGCCGAACAGGTTCTGGGGCCACGGTAGCTGCTGTTCCAGAAAGGGTGACACGGTGAGGCTCCTGCCTCAGGGAAATCTCGCGCGCAAACACCAGTGGTTCTGCAGCGCTTGTATTTCAGGGCGGTTGGAGTATTTCCATTTATAGCGCATCCGCCCTGGTCAGCGGCCTCTGTCGTAGTCCCTGCAGTTTAGTGCAGCGAGAAGAGGTACCGCTGGGGACTTGGCTGCTTTGCGCAAGGCAGTGGTAGGACAGGCTCTGCGCACGTCCGTAGCCTGGGCTGTCACGGCTGGAGGGGGAGTATTCGTGTAAAGCCCCGAACAGTGTTCTTAAAGGTCAGCATCGATTCCAGTGGGAATTGCTCGGCTTGGCAGGGGGACCAACAATCGAGTACCCGAAAGGCACCGAGCGCCTGCAGTGCGGCCCCTCAGGCTGCAGAGCGGCGGCGGTGGTGCTGGAGCGAACTCGGCAGGCTCGGGGCTGCGGGTGGCGGTGGCCTCCGTGGGGCGGCGCCCCAACCCCGTCCCATCAGGACTCCAAGCCCTGCCCCAGCCTGGGCTATGGCCCGGTGCCCAGAGCCCGCGGAAGCTGTCAGGAAGAGCAGGCAAGTGCAGGGTGACAGAGGTCCAGGGTCCCTAAAATGGGGACTGTGTGCCAAGTCCGGCTGATTGTCCTGTAAATAAAGCTTTATTGGAACAGGTTCCTCTCCCTGTTATCTGGCAGTGACAGAAACCATGCGTGCGCCAAGCCCATCTGGCCCTTCCCCCCGTTACGGTTCCACCTGTTCCCCGGGCTGTGGGGTGCTCCTGTATCCATATCCTAAGTTCCTCGTCTTACTTAAGACCCAAGTAGGTTTCCAAGTAGGTTTCTGTTTTGTAAAATCGAAAATGCCCTGAGGAGTTTTTACTTACTTTGTAAGCTCTCTGAGGAGGAAAAGGCTGGGTTCGAAACTGTACGTGAAGATGCTCTGCTCTTTCCACCTGCGTGAAAAAGGTTATCTCTGGGAGCTTGTATGCAGCACAGAGTGTGAGCAGCCCAGGACCCAACAGTGGCCGGGTGGAGCTGAGACCCAGACTGAACTGGTGGAAGAGGAATGAGGGCAGAACGCAGACTGGGATGGCAGGTAAGGCCCAGATGGACACCGGCAGGAGTGCGCTGGCCACGCATCTGAAGCTCGGAGACACCTCAGAACCCATAGGTCATTAGGCCCCAAGGAAGTTGCCCCGGCATTGCGGGAGACCTGATCCCCTCCCAGGTTGTGATAGACCATCTGGCTACACTGGGCCATAATTGATACATGAGTTTAAGGTATACAACAGCAATGATCACACATATGGTTGCCATAATAATGTAATTAGCAGGATAGTGTTTGAAAGCAGAGGTTCTTAACTTTTATCAGTCTGCTGAAGTTTGTGGACCCACTCAAAAAATAAAAGGATTACACAGGAAGCTACTTACATTACAAAACACATTTTATTGAACACATGTTTTATATGGCAATGTATATATTAATGCCTTGAATATCAAGATTCACTAGTGGGTCAAATAGTCACCATGATTACGAAATATGGGAAAATAGAAAATTTTGAGATATTTGCAACAATTGGAAAATATTAAAATACAAAGCCACAAATGTTTGCTGCTATAATAGTGGTCTGTTGCCTACATGCATAATTGAATAAATTAGTCAATTTCAGTTAGAGTTTAGTCAAAATAAAAAGATGTGTTTTTTTCTCTTTGAGTTCATGAAATCCCTGAATCTTACCCACAGTCAACTTTAGGGTGAGAGACGTGTGCCCAAGAACCCAGGTTGAAATCATGGTATCCCTGACTTCACCAAGTCTGTAAAAGCACATAACTTTGCCATAGAAGAAAGTACAGAGACAGACACGAACAGCCCCTCAGAGAAGTCCTACATTTAGGAACTGGAACGAGAACAGGAGTTTAAAAGAGCGGAGGAGCGAAGAGGGGTGTAAAACCAAAGACGTACAGTATCGCGGGGCTAGAGAAAAGCGCTAAGTGGAGGAGGCAGAGAAGAAAGAGCAGGAGCGTCACTCGGCCTGAAGTCAAGAAAGCTGATCATAAAAACGGAGGCTTTACATTTGTTAGGTAGGTAGCCTGAGTTCACATTCCAGCTTTGCCACTTACCTACCTTAGGCAATTTTGGTCCACTGCCTAAGCCTCAGTATTCATGTCCACAAAATGAGTGTAAGTAATGGCTATCACTCAGGAATGTCATGAGGATTAGCCATGCTCAGAATATTCTCTGAATTATGCCTTACAGTGTCTGAAGGCTACCCAAGTCCACCGCCCCTGAGAACTTCCTGCAGTGTGACCTGCTACGGCTTAGAACTAATTTATGACATGTGTACCAGGCTTGAAAATATATGCTGGTCCTCTTTCGGAATTTACAGTTGAAAAGAGAAAGACCAAGGCAGTTTGCAGGAAGATTATAAAGGAGGCTGCTGCACGGGGGTGGGGTGGGGATGAGAGCCTTTGAGCAAGTGGAGGCAAGGAGAGAACTGAAATGAAGAAGAGGAAGCTGGTCTGTGACGAGAGCAGAGTGGAGCCGCCACGGAGTGAAAAGCAGAGACGCCAAGAGAGCCGGCTGTCTTCCTTCCAGCCTCAGCTCTGTGAATTCAAGTCAACCACTGTTCCTGCCCTTGGGCTGCTGTTCAATCACCCCCAGCTTTTATCCCGAGCTAGTTCGTGTGGTTCTCTTTTCCTGGCAACTATCTAATCCTGACCAGAATATCTTTGTAAAGCGCAGATGGTCAATCATGTTCCCACAGGGGTTGGGCAGGAGGGAGGTGACGAATGTCCAAGTGCATATGTGTTCACAATGAGGACTGGAGCAAACTGGACGGCAATGCCAAAAAGTCGGATTTCTGTCTAAATATGCTGGTTTTCCAATGTCTACTTAACTTTTGAAAACTGAACCAGCTCAGACAAAACCAGATGCAAATCCTGCGTGGCGCTGTGGCTCTCCAGGTTTCTCCCTCCTGTGAAAATAAAGCGCTGAGCCCAGTGTTTGGCACCCAGTAAATCCACAAGAAACCATTGTCCTAATGGCTCATTACCATTGCTGACCTTTGGGAGAGTGCTTCCCGCAGAAGGTGGAGGCAGCACCAGACGGCGAGGGCGGGGACGGTGGCTCTGAGGCAGCAGAGGCAATGATCGTCTTTTCTGATTGGAAGTTGAGAAGTACTAAGAGGGGACAAGTGAGGGCAGAGGCTTGAGGCAAATCTGGCCTCATGAATGTTCCCCATTAAGATTCACCTGTAGATTAAATAAAAAGCTCTTTTAAACAGTCTGCAGTCTCAAATGTCCAGATTCCATTTTCGGTGTGGAATGGAGTCTGACTGGCCATTCTGTTCTGTGAGGGCTGCCCTGTTCTTAACAGCACTTAACCCATTACTGTCTCACTCCCCAGTGATGCGACGTAAGAAACCTTGTACATGTCACACGGTGTCACAATGTCTGCCCTGCTTCCAGGCAGTTGCTTCTCTGAAAGCTGAGCTGGCACAGTTGGCTGTTAGTTAGGGAGGTTATAAGCCAAACGGGTAGGTCAAAGGGTTAAGGAATGGGCCTCCAGGCCAGACCTGGATTGATGTCACAGCTGTGTGGCCTTCCTTAGGTGGTTTATTCAATTTGCCACAGTCATCTCCCACGTTGCTGTTGTGGGTCTTAAAAGATGTGTCCATACAAGGCCTGGGGCAGTTAGGACTCAGTATTAGCTATTTTTAATCATGCAAAGTACATCTGGGAACAGCCTTCATTTGCATAAAGCATATAAATCCCATAAATATTTCTGCTTCATGTCTGAATTTAACTTTCTAAATAAGGATCTGGTTTGTAGAAGCCTCCTTGTACAGTGCCATGTTCAGTTAAAATACTAAAGAAAATCCTTTTGATGTTAGTCAAGTTTAGAAGCTATTCTTAAGATAAAAGGAATGTTAGTGAAATGAAGCAGCAATAAAGTCAAATACTGCAGCTTGAATATCATAAGAGAATTCATCTACTGCTTTTCTGTTGCTTCATCATTCCCATTCTGTTTTTTCTTAACAAAATAAAATCTTAATTAACAGGAACCATACTAACCAATCCCTGAAGTGGATGGAACTTTCAGCATTCATGTTTAAGGACTGGAGGAAAATCACAAAGTAAGGAACAAGCCTTGAAACCAACATTCGGGAGGTTCTCTTGAATCAGTTCATATTCAGTCAATAGGATTCCCCATCCTCTCTGGCAGGAGAAAACACTTTCATTTCCCCACTATAAATTTCATTTCATATTCCCACAAGAAACTAAGAACAGGTATGAGAAGAAAGGTGAATGGCACAGCCACCACCTTGAACTCTCACAGGAGGCTCGAAGGTCTAGTGGAAACCCTGGGAAGAACTAAACCCATGTGTGGAGTTCATTTCTACAGCTGCCTTCACACAGTGTGTGCCACACAGTGTGTCCCTACCCTTGTGGAAATCATGGCTAATCAGGAAAATGAAAATTGAGCAAGACTATACTAGGTTCTTGAAGGAAAAGACTAGATTTTGTTTCTTTGTTTTGTTTTTTAATCTTATACGACCTTCCTAATGAACTTTTGAATTATATAAATATGATATATATATGTATATTATATATATACACACATATATATAGCATTGTTATTGTTCTAGCAAGAGGAGGGTTGGAAACGTGCTTCGCTCCTATCACAGGAAAAGAAGCTTTCCCAGGGCGCCCTAGAGGCATCTCCTTAAAACTTGTTGGTCAGAACTGGGTCATGGGGCCACCAAAGAGGGCAGGAAAATGTCTGTCAGTCTTCCTGCATCCAAGATTCCATTCTGGGGCAAGAAAGGATATCACTATAAGATAAAAGTTGAAAGTTGATATTGCTTAAATAGTTCTAGGCAACACAAGTTATAGAACTTCTAATACTCTACAGTATTTCGGTTATGTGTTTGCTACTTTATAAATGATTGTCATATTGTAATAAGCAAAAATTTACATTTAGATTATTGTTAAATTCTGAAGCTATGTTGATTCCTCATGAATACATTGCTAATGAGTTTTCAGTTCATTATAATTTATCATTATACTATGCATAAAGGTCGTTTAGAATAATTGCAACAGATGAAGTGTAAGAAAATGTTTACATATAGCTACAATTAGAGAAAATGGAAAAGTTAGGTTAAACAAACAAAGTGTTATTATTGTTTAGAAATCATTTGTATTATTGCTCTTCCTGTGATTTTGAAGGGCCTGCTAAATGGAAATTATGGACATTTGCTTTTAACACTATTTAATACCTTAAGCCATAATGATTTTGAAAAGGAAAATGAGGTCTTCTCCTTTAAATTCCTTGACTCTTCCCTGAAAGTAAAATACAATGATGAGAAAAAAACACTTCTTCCTCTCAGTTCTTTGCACCCATCTCTGAATCCATCCATCCATCAGTTCATTCAGAGGCAACTTAAATTGCGGTATCGCTCTCCTTTGGCCCCCACTGCAAGGAGTGCCTTTGCGGTTCTTGCCTATTTTCCCATTTCACACAGGCAGCTCAAAGTGCATTGACACTGTCCAGGCAGTGTGCAGCTGAGCCCCAGGCACACCTAGGGGTGGCCGGAGGCTAGGACCGCAGTGTGGGAGGCGTCTCCACAGCTTGGGCCCCTGGCGCCCAGAAGCATGGGCCCCTGTAGCAGTCGTAATAGTGACTGCAGCAACTAGAGGGCCTTTGGGTTTAACTAGCATCTTTCAAAAGGGAAAGCATGTTTGCATTAAGTGGGATTCCTGATGCCAGGGAGTAAGAGTTCCCTATAAATGCAACTCCCAGTACAGAGAGGAAGCCATGATCTGGCCTAGCCATCCCCAGGTTTATGACAAAATGAAGCACTTAATAGTGGAATGCTAGTCCTCCCTGTATTAATTGCTCCTTGGTTGTAAACCAGCCATATCTGAAAAATTCTTTAAATTATTTTTGCCCGAACAATAATGTAACGAAATGCCTTATTTTACTTTAACTGCACTTTACATTTGTCCAGAACATACAGCTTTTTAAAGGCCTAATCTGTTCAGTTTGTTGAACACCTGTTCTCTATCAATAACTTATCAGACTTCTCTCTTCACCAATTTGCCTTGCTTTAAATTTTTAATAATTGTTAAGAAATCATCTCTCAAGACCAAAAAAATATGAATATGTCCTTGTAATTCCTAAGAAGCTGATGACTTTGATGGCTGTTCAGTAGGAGTAGTATTTTGCTATTTAATTCCATGCCACAAGCATTTATCAAGTTCCTACTGGATGCTGGAACTATGAGGATTCAGAAAACAGAAGGTGTAGGGGTGAGCTGAAATCATTCTGGCACAAACTTACAGTCCTGGATAGAAGCACAAAGGTCAGTAGTTGTATGAAAATGATGCAGAGAAAAGTGGAATATGTGTCCTTTGAAAGGAACTTTTGTAATGTGATCTAAAGTTCACTTGAAATATGTATCATTATTGTTATGGTTTTAGATAGTAAAATAGAATAATCTTTTAGATAGTCAAAACATCTGTTTTCCCATAATTTGCTGCATCTTGTCTTTGTTCCTCAGTTAAGAGAAACAAGTGTGTGGGACTCGCTTGGCAACTTCTCAGCCTGAAATAGAACAGGTTTTCTGGGTCCAAAGTCCACTTTTGTTTCCACAATAGTTGATATACATGCAGCTGCAAGTTCAGCTAAACCTGGCACATTTCCAGCAGTCATAGTGACATCTGACTATTTCACAGACAGAAGGGTGCAGGAAGCTGAATCCAGGTCTGTCATAGCAGTCCAGCAATGTCCTCAGGCCCAGGACACTCTCATTTTCTGTTCCACCATCCTTAGCATGACATTCTTCCTGGTGCTTGCTGCCTCACGGTTTCAAGGCGGCTGCCACAGCTGCAAGTGTGGCATATTCATGTCATCATCCAAGTAGTAAGAAGGAAAAGGGCAAGTGGGGAAACGTGTTTTACCAGAAGCCCCCAGCTGACTTCTCCTTAAACCTTACTGGTCAGAAATGGGTCACATGGGCTCCAGTGGAGGCTGGAAAGTGTACAGGAAGGGTATAGGAACCCAAGAGCCAGGATATGTTTAGGTTGTTAACATTATCCCCTGGGGCTAGGGTGGGGGTAGGCACACTGCTTACCCAAACTACTAGGGTTCTAGGAAGGAAGATGGGCGATGGGGGCATAAGAATAAACCTAATTTCTAGTCTGGGGGTGAGAAATAAAAACGTAATTCATGCCAAGTGCTTGAATAAGTGACTGGTACATGGTAAGTACTCATAAATACTAGTAACTAATAAAAAGAGGCACCAAATTTCCCAACATGCTAGAATTACAACCAGATTCCTCAGACTCCCTGGATAGCACCATGTGCAGAAGACATACAAGTGGGAAACATGGTTTCCAACCCTGGCAGGAGAGTTCTTTCTACCATACCTGGTCTGTGACACAGCAGGCCCTGTCCCTCCTTTCCCTGCAGCTCCCCCATCACTCCCCAATCCTCTTTCCTCTCCTTCCCCACTCATTCCCCCATTTACTCTTCCATCTTTCTTTCCATACGTGTTGCTTTTCTCTCTCGTGACGCCTCCCCTGCCTTTCAGGCCAGGACGTTTCACTGCGTCATCCTGCTCCTGACATCAAGGCTGTAACGGATGCTGACCCCACACAGGACTCCTCCAGCCCCTGTGGAACAGGTGTCCTCCACGGACTAGCAGGTGACACCCGCAGAGCTGAACCAGTTCACTCTGCCTCTGCGGCAGCACAAGTAACTCACAAGCCTGGTGACTGCCACCGCCTGGCATGCCTGGATTAGGTGCCCTATGACTGGCATTAAGGCCAGAGGAAAATCAGTTCAGAGAAAGACAACACCTTTTAATTTAACCGAATTCATTTATCCACCTTTTATTTTTAAGTAGGACCGAAAGAGGACAAATAACTTATGAAATGAACTTTGAAAGAATAGATTTGCAAGAATTATTCAGCAAGAAAGAATATTGTTTCTCATTTCAAAAAAGGTCCCTGTGAGATTGAGGAGTGGGACAAGCACTGAAGAGGAATCTGGACAGTGCGAGTCTTAAGAGCTTGGGAGATGGTCAGGGGCGGCACGAAGAGAACTCAGGGACTGTGTATTTAAAGCCATTCTGAGAATCTAAAACATTTTATTTTTGAAGGTGAGAGCTCCACCTTCAGTGTGCAATGAAGTCTTTCTTCAGCCAAACACTATGATGTCTGAATGCTAGAAAATCTGTGTTCCTTTTCATTAAAAAAAAAAAATTAAATTAGCACAAGAGGGAAATGATTCCCACTTGTCCCTAGGGAAACAGACAGGTGCAGAAGTCAAAACAAGGCTGTTAAAGCCATGCCTGCCCCTCCGTCACCCCTCAGCTCTCCACCTCAGCAGGGGGAAGCCCAACAGCCTGGGGCTGGATCTGAGGGAAACAGCAGACCTTCAGTCCCTTTACCCTCCTCTCCACCAAAGGGACGTGGGGCTGTGACGAATCCTCTGAAAATCACTGTGCCTGGCACTGCTGCCCTCCACCCAGCCGTGGAGCCTCAGCAGAACATCAAAGGCCCATGAAGGCCAGGGTATTAAATGAAGGCAAAGAGGGCCAGTAGCAAGATGTACCAGAGAAATGACTTGTTTTGGACTAAATGGCAAAAATAAACACAAGAAAACAACCGGATGATTCCAGAATGTGGGTTCTTCTACTAGACTTTGGACTAGACTCTTCTGAAGCCAGTGTCATGAGTCCAAACAAACCCAAGTCCGAGGGGCTATTCCTGTGTAACTTGCTTGACCAAATATAATATGTAGAACATGACTAGATCTTGGTTAAAAAAAAAACTAAGACTAAAAAAGCTTTGGAGATGAAATTTTAATCTGGACTGACTATTAAAACTTGGATATAAGTAAGTGGCTACTGATAATTTTCTTAGGTGTGATAATTGTGATTATGCAAGAAAATGTCCTTATTCTTAAGACAAGCAGGATGAAATATTTAGAGGTAAAATCTCAAGTTGTCTACCACTTAAACTTGTAAGTCAGATAGATGATAGACAAAGACAGAGAATCATGTGGAAAATGCTAATTATTGAATCAAGGTGTTTGATATTTTTCACTATAAGTTGGGTGAGAATTCACATGTGAATCAGAGTAAGAGGCAATGTCTGGTGCTTAGTAAACAGGCACCCATGCATTTTCTTTTTGCTTCCCTGAAACACACAGCAGAGCTTCCGCAAGTGACAGGACAGCAGAGAGGCCGGAGGGACCGTGGAGGTCATCAGGCCAATGTGCAATGCCACCGGAGGAGGAGCCTTATCAATGGTATGTGCAGATAGAAGGCCAGCCTTCTGAGGCTCTTGTACGACAGGAAATCTGGGATTAGGAAGACACGTCGTGAGGCCCTAGGGTACCTCAGGCGAGGCACATCACCACTGAGATGTTCCTTCGTCCTGTCTATCTTTTTCTTACAGGGTAACAGGCCAGATCTCACACAGTCAAATGTGTTTGAAGGGCCTCAAGCAGAACTACCACGAAGCCAAGAGTCCTGGTAAATGCTGGCTCTGGCTAGCCTGGCCTCTGCCTCCCCACCACCCTCCACTTTGCTCCTGGCCCGGCGCTTCCTACAGTGGCCCCTGCAGCATCTGGCTCGCCTGGGCTCTCGTGGGAAGGGCGTGCGCAGGATCTTAATGCCGATGGGCTCCTGCCTCCTCGTGGGTGTTCTCACCCTACTCCTGTGCCATCGTGCTGATGAAATGTCATAAGCAGCTGCTCAGGGCTTCCTGTCCCCCTCAACATAGAGGAGGTGGCTAGCCCACATTCTTACAAAATAAAACTGAAGAAATCAGGGGTGGTTTAAAACAGATTTAAAAAAAAACAAACACAATGTATTAAAACTGTAAATCCAGAATCATTCAGATGAGTGTAGCTCATTGTGTGCTACAAGTCACAGGCTCCAGAAGGAAAACTAGCCGTGGGGCGTGTTTACTGTGTGACAGGGGCTGGCCTAGGCCTTGCAGTGTGGTCACACTTAAGCTTCAAGCAGCCCCTGAGGGACAAGTTACTCCCCGTTCAGAGGTGTGGCTTCCCAGGCTTGGACAGGTGGGTGATGTGTCCAAAAAGCAGGAGTCCACTGTCTGGGTCCCACTCCACAGCCTGCACTTGCTCTGGCCACAAGGTACGCCAGGGGGGAGCTACCTGCACAGAAAGGGCCTCAGGTGATGTGGTGGCAACGGAACGGTCCACTCAGCCAGACTCCACTGCTGTTTTCCAACCACTTCAGCCAGGGAGGGCGGCCAAGGTGCAAACCCACGGTGGGGCCCAGCCCTGCCTGCTGGCTGGCAGCAACCCCAACTCCATTTGGGCCCCTGGGCTTCCAGTCCAGGAACACGCAGGCCCTGCAGTGGGGACCAAGTCTGAGACAGCCATCAGGCTTCACGGCGTCCTCAGTAGCCAGCGCAGGGGCGGTTGAAGGCGGGTGCCCATGCCCTGGCCCACTGCGCATGTTAGTGTTGGTGATGGAGCCTGTCCGGGGCAGCGCCCATGTCAAACATGCATGAACGTACAAACTCAGTCCCCTGTGCCGCGACCTCCTGGCTGAGCCCTGAGAAGGGCCTGGAGTGGGACGCCCCCTAGGGAATAGGCACCCCGCTCACCTAGGGTCGCCGCCAGAGCTCTAGCTGTGCTCCTACCAAATCAGGGTGCCGCTATCAGCCTTCCTCTTCTCCACGCAGCCGGCTGCTGCCAGTGCTGGGTTGCAGACCCAGTCCTCCCTAAAACTACGCTTTCCCTCTCCAGGCCCCAGACTTCCACAGCCCATAAGATGCATACTTGGTTTCCGTCAACAGACCTGATCAGCGTTTGTCGTGTTGAAACAGAGATGTTCTGTGCAGAGCGCTGTAAGTGCACTCCACTGAATCCCTCCTGGGACCAGTGGGTCACATAAATAAATGAGCGTCCACTAAGCAAAGCCTGCTCTGGGTTCTGGTGGAGTTGGGGGTGTGGCCAAAAGTCCAGGAGAGGATAAGAGGAAGGTGGGGCGGCGACAGTGTGAGGCCCAGTGCAGATGCCCTGAGGGTAGTACCAAGCAAAACACTATTTGGGTTCAAAAAAGAAGAAAAACCCCTGGTTGTCAGGGATACGATTGCAAGGAAGCCACAGCATTTTATATTTTTCAGGCCAAAATATTATGTGCCAGGGGACAAAAATTAAATTCATGTCTTGCCCCACCTTATCTCTTGCCTGACCCACATATGCATTCTACATTCCAGCCAGGCTAAATCATTTGTTTTACCTGTGTTTTCTGCCATTTTTTGCCTTCAACTTTGCTCTTTCTACCTGAATCACCTCCTTTCAAGCCACCATCTCCAAATGGCTAACTCTAAATTTAGACATATTTAGATTCATGTCAGGGGGCTCCTTTTCTGCAAGGGTCTCTGTTAGGTACCCGTGGACCCCAAAGCCACATGTGTGTCATCACTGATGGTAGGGGGTGAAGGTCGTTAGCCTGGCTTCTGGAGCTGGGATGCCTGGCTGTGAATCCTGGCTCCGTGGTCCACCAGCTCAATCACACTGACTTGTTAAGGGGACTGAATTTCTATCCACAAAGCATTTATAATAGAGCCGGGCTCAGAAAGCATAACCAGACACTGGCATTACTGCCACCACCAGTGCCAGCACCAACACCATGGCATATGCCACCCTGGATTTGATTCTTATTTGTCTGTCTATCCCATGACTGGTTCTTCCGTTGCACAAGGAGTGTGTATTCCCCAACTTGCTGTCTTGCATTCTTCATACATTGCCCAGCACATCGTAGCATTCAGTGAATGCTTATTGGAACTGGGGCTGCATGAGTCGACAAGGGGGGTGAATATGGGCAATTCCTCAGGAAAAGACCTGAGCACAGTTTACAGCACTGGTGTGGCCCAAGGCCTGGCCTTGTTTCAGGTGATGAAGGTAGAACGGAGGCCATCAGAGTCAAGGAGCACAGACCCGTGAATTCTAACATTAGAGGGAACATTCCAATGGGTTCTTTTTATCTCTGGGGCTGAGATCAGGAAATGCAGGGAAGTGCTGGGAAGACAAGAAGCCTGAAATGAGATCCTTGCACCAGATCTGAATCAACAGTCATGTGAATAAACCTTTTCTTAAGACAAATCTTCAAAGGAATTATCAACCTGTTCACATCATGCCTTATACCGACCCCTACAGGCCCTATAAAACCCGAAACCTTAAACCCTTATGCGCACCTCCTCTCAGGTTGCCTGCACTCCCGTCTGAGTGTGTACTGTCTTATGTCAAATTTTCTTGCTGCATAAGCCTGTTGCACTTCATTTCTGAACGCTTTTTCACCATAAGACAAGAAATCACTGACCTCTGCCTCTGGTAAGTGTCTTTGTCCCTTTAATATTTCATTCAACTTTCTGGTCTTAACATAATCCTTTTCTCTATCTCTGTTTTATTTCAGACCAATAAGGAAGTGGAAGTTCTCCAAACATGAACTCACTCCATCCAGTGCCCCACTGCTGCTCTGAAATCCTGGGGTCCCGGGGCGTAGTTCCCAGGCTGTGTAGGTCAAGTGGACGTTGGACGCCAGGTGGCCCTGGCATCGGGAGCTGGCCAGGGATCCCCCCCACCCTGAGCAATTCAGTGAGCTTCCCTCTCCTCCCCTGATCCTCCTCTCTCTCCCCTGCCTGCGCAGCTGCTGACATTGGCTCCTACTCTTGCTTTAATGAATTCCTTCCTTGCTGGCACTTGTTTGACCTGACAGAGAATCCTTTCCTGATCGGAGTCAAGAACCCTCCCCCATCCCAGTTGACGTTTCACCTAGTGGTCAGGGAGAGACCTGCCCAGACGCAGCTGCTCAGCTGCACAGTGATCTGTGACCAGTGATTATGACTCACTGAAAGCTCAGATAATGGTTAGCCCTTTTTAGCAATACAGTAGATTTTAATAAAGGTGTGTGCATTCCCCCCACCCCCCATGCGTACTTTTTTTAGACACAGTTGTACCCTGGGAAGCCAGAAACGCCACTTGACCGACCTGCCTTATTGTGATGTCTGCTTTCTTGTGGTGGTCCAGAAGACCCTGCAGACCCTCACGCAGCGCCTGTATTGTCTGATCCTGGATATGATCTGGAATTCCCAGAGAAGGTGAGGCGAGGGCAACACCACCATGGTGGGGAGTGCTGGCAGAAATCGGTGTAGGATGCAACTGGGAGAATAGAATTTAATAGACTACACATACCTGTTGTGGTGGTTCTAAGAAAACCCAGAGTCCAGCCTTGCCCAACACTATGGACTTGCTTATAGCTGGTATTTTTTGATCCATTCCTGTACCAGATTCTTTACCTATAATTAATTCTCCAAAATCAACAAAAGAAGCATAATGATCCGTAGTTTACAGGTGAGAAGACGGGAGTTCTGAGTGGTAAAATGACCTGTTCAAGGTCACATGGCTAGAAAGTGGCTGAGCTATTATTAGAGTCTGGATTTCCCCAATACTGGAGTCCATGACTGAATATTTTCAATCTCACACCCTTTCATAGAGTTGTTCAGAAGCTGTGAGGCTCCATTCAGGAAAATCAGGCTGTGGGTCACATGAAGGTAGGTTATAAAGTCATAAAATCGTAGAATCTTAAAGCAAAAAGGGATAGTCAAAGGGACTAGTCTCTTTCATTTTGCATGTGGGAAAACTTACATTAAGAACCTTGCCAAAAACCCCATACACAAAAGTAAACTCAAAATGGATCAAAGACTTGAATGTAAGTCATGAAACCATAAAACTCTTAGAAGACAACATAGGCAAACATCTCCTGAATATAAGCATGAGCAACTTCTTCGTGAATGCATCTCCTCGAGCAAGGGAAACCAAAGCAAACCATCAACAGAACAAAAAGGCATCCTGCAGTGTGGGAGAATCTATTTGTAAATGGCATATCTGACAAGGGATTAACATCCAAAATATATAAAGAACTTACACACCTCAACACCCAAAAAGCAAATTAACTCGATTAACAAATGGGCAGAGGATATGAAGAGACAGTTCTCCAAAGAAGAAATTCAGATGGCCAACAGACACATGAAAAGATGCTCCACATAGCTAGTCATCAGGGAAATGCAAATTAAAACCACAATGAGATATCACCTCACACCAGTAAGGATGGCCAGCATCCAAAAGACTAAGAACAACAAATGCTGGCAAGGATGTGGAGAAAGGGGAACCCTCCTACACTGCTGGTGGGAATGTAAGCTAGTTCAACCATTGTGGAAAGCAACATGGAGGGCCCTCAAAAAACTAAAAATAGAAATACCATTTGACCCGGGAATCCCACTCCTTGGAATTTACCCAAAGAATACAACTTCTCAGATTCAAAAAGACATATGCACCCCTATGTTTATCATGGCACTTTTTACAATAGCCAAGATATGGAAGCAGCCTAAGTGTCCATTAGTAGATGAATGGATAAAGAAGATGTGGTACATATACACAATGGAATACTATTCAGCCATAAGAAAGAAACAAATCCTACCGTTTGCAACAACATGGATGGAGCTGGGGGATATTATCTCAGTGAAATCAGCCAGGTGGAGAAAGACAAATGCCAAATGATTTCCCTCATTTGTGGAGTATAACAATGAAGCAAAACTGAAGGAACAAAGTAACAGCAGACTCAGAGACTCCAAGAATGAACTGTTGGTTATCAAAGAGGAGGGGTGTGGGAGGGCAGGTGCAGAGGGAGGGACAAGGGGATTATGTTTAGTGCACATGGTGTGGGGGATCACACGGAGAACAATGTAGCACAGAGAAAGGTGCATAGTGGATCTGTGGCATCTTACTACACTGATGGACAGTGACTGCATTGGGGTATGGGTGGGGACTTGATAATATGGGTAAATGTAGTAACCACATTGTTTTTCATGTGAAACCTTCATAAGAGTGTATATCAATCATACCTTAATAAAAATAAGTAAGAAAAAGAAAAAGGAACCTTGCCAAAAAATATCACACGTCAGTCTCATCTGTTGGTGACCCAAGCGTAGAACACAGGCTCAATTTAGTTAACCAGCTCTGTCTATGGTGTACGCCTCTCGTGGCCAGGTCTCTCAGCTCCTGCACACAGGACTTTCTGCAGACCTTGTTCAGGAAGCAGGGACCCCTCCTTGTGCTGCAGAGGATGATCCTGGCTGGTGCCTGAAGAGTAAACAGGTGAGGACAAGGGTCAAAGAAGGAACTGTGTGCTTTGATTCATTCACTCACTGCCTTTCACACAGCAGCCCTCTACTTAGGACCTGCCTGCGTGCCGGCACCTTCTTTCCTTGAACTGCCAGGCAGGGCAGATGTGCACAAACCTGGACACTGTCAGACCTTGTGCAGTGGGTCGAAGGGCCAGGACATGAGATCTCCATTGTGGTACTGACAACAATCAGTGAAGAAAATTTTCAAGCTGCCTTGAGGTCAGAGGGGAGGGAGCTGAGCTGAAGTGTGAGGTATAACTTCTCCTAAATGTGAATGTCAAAAACACTGTTTTGAGGTAGTTTTGGAATAAAATGCTGTTCTGAGGTACGTTTGGAATGGCTTGTCTTGCATGAAATGAAGTCTGAGACTTTGGGATGATTTATTCTAATGCAATTAGTAGGAATAATGAGAAGCATCCATTTCTGTAACATCAAGTTTATGTCTTGTGGCTACTGAGGGCATTTAGCACAGTAAGTGTGGCCCCTGTGCACAAGGCAGCATGTGTGCAGCACCCCCATCAGTTCCAAGGGCACGAGACCCTCTCTATCTAAGTAGAAAGCATAAACTCCTGAAGCATTTTATTCATGAGACTCTTTGGACTCTAAATTTTGCACGTAATCAAAGAAACGTTGAATGAAAACACGCAGGACAGAAAAGCCAGCTCAGCAAGTGAAGCTCCTGCTCAAGGTTTGTGATTAGCAGCGACCTTGTACCTGAAGCCTCCATCCAATTTCTATTTCATTCTCTCAATGTGCTTGTTTGGAATCTTTCAACACCATTTAAAAAAGGTGGTAATATTGGGCCTTCTTTTGCACCAGAATGTCAGCAAAATGTCTCGATACCTCTGAAGAAGCACGTGTGAAGTCAGTGTGTGGGAGGGTATAGGCATCACCTTAGCAGCATCCCTATGACTATAACAGGTCTCATAATGACACATGCAAAATTCTCTGATTTGACATGGGAAATGCCCCTTCCATGTGCAGAGATGCAATAACAATTCAATCTGTTGGGCTTCGTGAGAAATGAGGCTTGATGGCCTGCCTTTTTTGGTCAGATGCATGGATGAGGAGATTCTAGCCAATGTCTAACTCTGTCCACAGCATATTTGCTGCATTAGTAGAAATCAGACCATCTTTCCAACAAAGGCAGCTAGGCTGAGACTTGACTGATTCAGTGTTTTGGAATCCTGACAGGCAATGGAAGTAGAGCTATGTGACTGCTTAGATCCGTGTGGCTATTGATCAACCAAGTATGAATGAACTACTAATAACTGCCACAGGGGAAGGGTCGTGCCTCTGCTGACTTCACCTGCTGTGGGACTCGGGACAGATGAGGCCTGACACAAACAGGAGGAATGAAGGTGAGAATCTCCCTAATGGGGTTGTCAGCAGGGGGGGCTGGGAGGCCCGGACACATTCTTGAGTCAAAGCCAGCATGCAGATGGCCTCTCCCTCTGCTCTAGTCAAACTTGTCTAGTTGCGTCTAAGAAATGCCTGCAGTAGGCAAACAGAGGCTTTTCAAATAGTCCATGCTTCCTGCCCTTTATGTACATGTTCACCATAAAAAAACCTTAATTTGGCAGCCAGAGCTACCTCGTTACCGTCAGCACACTGGACTCCAGCAGATACCCTGCTGTCCAAGTGAGGAGCCGAGAAGGTGCTCATACAAGGGGAAATTCTGTTGCTCACTAGTGAGGAGGCACCTCCCACGCCAGGACTGAATGTGTGTTTAGTGCGATGACCACCTTGAGTCTCCACCCTTCCCTGTTCCAGCCCTGACGGCAAGCAGAATAGACCATGGAGTGCCTCACCCTTAACCTTCCCAGCAATCTTTCTAGGTGTGGAAGCTAGTCTCCCCACTTTCTTAGTACAGGTCTCTGCTTTTCAGCATTAACTGAGGGCAGTGTGCCCAAGCCTTGCTGACATTAGACCATCACCTGGGCAACTTAAAATAAATGCATATTTGCCAGCCTTATCCCATATCTCATGAATCAGAACTGGTGGGGCCAGGGCGGGGGTGGAGCTACATCTGCTGTTCCAGCACTCTGGGTGGTTCTGATCTACAGCTGAGATATAGGACACCAGGTCCCTAGGTTCAGTTCTGAGGGGAAAAAGAGACTCTGTAGGTCTCAGACAGAATTTTCCCTGAATAACAGCTGCTGAGACCCTCTAGGAATCTATGAAGCCATTGTTGCAATGCCTACCTTATGTGCTAGCGCCTTTGGTTTGAACTGCAATCTTTTTGGAGGAGGCTCTGGACCCTATTAAGCCAGACGTCTTAACAGCTACCATGTGCCAAGCCCTTTGGGCACCACATATGCTAAATACACTCCCTGTCTATAGGAATCTCCACAGGGACAATAGCACTCTTCTACAGGAAAAATCAGATGGTAGTCCAGGGACAGAAGAGCTGGTGGTCCCAAGGGGAGAGCTCTGGCACACCTTGACCCGGGGATGCTGGTGCCTGTTCCCCAGGCCAGGGAGAGCCTTTGCTTAGTCTTCAGCCCCTTCTCTCTCTCACGACTGGTGAAATGCCTGGCAGTTCATTGCATCTCTGCTGGGTGCAGCTGTCCCCAGGTTTTGTAGAGGATACCTCCCAGTGCTGAGGAAAGAATTGAAGGAAGATTAGAATATCCAGTAAGGCTGTAGATCCATGGGGTAAGTACTCAGGGGACTGTGGGGTTAAGGGAGGAAGGGAGACAGTGACAATGAAGATAAGACCAAAAGTGC